ATTGTGGAACTAGAGGAGTTAGAGCCCTGTCTATGTTGATAAATAAGATGAGAGCACCCCTCCAGCTAGGATGGAGTTCGTCACTCCTCAGCAGGCCAGGCTTGGTCCTGTTTGTTGGTGAGTCCCAAAAAGAGGGCCAATCTTTCTAGCTAATTTACACGCTGAAGCTATGTTGCGCTTTGTGATCTCTGACTGTTTCATCCTAACATCGTTGGTGCCGACGTGGATAACAACATTCCTATACTCTCTACGCTCGCCAGTTTTAGCCTTAGCCAGCACCCTCTTCAGATTAGCCTTTACGTCGGTAGCCCTGCCCCCTGGTAAACAGTGTATGATCGCTGGATGATTCTTTTTAAGTCTAATATCGCAGGTAATGGAGTCGCCAATGACTAGGGTTTTCAATTTGTCAGAGCTAATGGTGGGAGGCTTCGGCGGCTCAGACCCCGTAACGGGTGGAGGAGAGACCTGAGAAGACTCGGCCTCCGGCTCGTTGCTTAATGGGGAGAACCGGTTGAAAGTTTCTGTTGGCTGAATGAGCGACACCAGTTGAGCACGCCGACAGCATTTCTTTCCAGAAGCCTTGAGAAAATTGTCCGGCTGCGGGGACTGTGCAGGGGGATTTATATTACTATCTGTACTTACTGGTGGCACAGACGCTGTTTCATCCTTTCCTACACTTAAATTGCCCTTGCCTAACAATTGCATCTGAAGCTGGGCTTGCAACACGGCTATCCTCACCGTAAGGCAATAGTTCTACTGTATATTATGAGTACAGCGACTGCAATTAGTTGGCATAGTGTTAATGTTACTACTTAGCTTTTTCGGCTGGTGGAGGTCCTGTACAACCATGTCCAGATAAAGCGTCTGGGGTGAAAAGGTTGAATGAAAAAGTAAAGCGAGGAAAAACTATGACATTGGTAAATGTGTTAAATGCATATTTTGATTAAATGGTTAGTAAAAGTAAAAACTGAAAAGTTGGTCAAGTAGCCAAGCAGCAACAAACAGCACAGCAGCACAGAGACAAGTCCAGAAGTTGTGACTTTGTGGCTGACACTCACACCAATGACAAAATCGTCCCTCTTTGCAGGCTTCCTCCTCGACGGCGTCCTGCCAATGCAGATACCAGCCAATTCCAGGCCGCCAGGTGGGTAGGGCTGCCGCACTGCTTCCGAGTCAGGGCAGCTCAATATAACATAAGTACCTCAGCTTCATCAATGTTACTTACACAGTAAGAGCCAATTTATGCTTGATCCGAAAATGTGGTCGGAGGCGCCATATGGATGGTGAGACGCAATTGCGAAGCCTCCGGAGGCACGCAGAGGCCAAATTGAGCTCCGTACCTCATCGCCGTGCACCTCTCAAATGTTGTAACAATGCGGAGGCCTCCGTATAGTTCTGCATTGACACTTTGGCTGACAGTAGGTGAGGGTGGGAGGGCCTGTATAAACACAAACTCACTTCCTTGACAACTTCCTTCACAACAGCTCTGCGCTGCTTGGCGACGCGTAAGAAGTATGAATGCCCTGACTTCCGCAGAGGCCATATCACCGTAAATGCTGCACGGCCAATGCAGACGTCGGAATGAACAGTCAGCGCCTTTAAGTGTGATCATGTGCAGCAGATGATTTCGCATGATCAACATTGACACTTACCTCTGTACCTACCGTATTCCGTCCACTTACCTCTTTCCCTGGGGCATTGTGACCACTTTTGAAGACGATCAGGGAAGGAGAAAATAGTGGGCACAGCAGTCGGGGTGAGGCAGACTTTTCCCTTGTGATCATGCCATAAACACTCATCTTCAAAGTGATGGCCACAGAAACGAGAGTGTTGGGTTCGTTTCCAATTCATCTGCCTGACATTTGCTATCCACTGCTGCAGCCTGGGCTTGTCATGAAATGGAAAAAAATATGATGTATTTAATAGTAGGCTAGGTCTTAGCCAAGTGTAAACAGTAATTCTTCTAAAATAACATTGCTGTCAAGCAATGTAGACACAATGATCAATATAACTACACTCTGCCCTATTTTTACTTAAGATTTATAAGCTAGATAGCAAGATAGTAATGGTGTTTACCTAGCCAGCTATAAATACATGTTTGTGAACGCTATTTATGCAAATTTGACACACACTAACTAGCTATCCTCAATCAATGACATTCAATGTGGGCTAACCAAGATAGCTAATGTTACTAGCTATAGGAAATCACTAACGTTTGGCAAATGGCATAGATAGTTGGTAAATCAAGCTAGTTATAGCCTACCCCATTCATAGACGCTAACTGCTTTAGCGCCTACTGACAATAGTACATGACCAAAAGTATGTGGACACCTGCTCGTCGAACATCTCATTCTGAAATCATGGGCATTAATATGGAGTTGGTCCCCCCTTTGCTGCTATAACAGCCTCCATTATTCTGGGAAGGCATTCCACTAGATGTGGGAACATTGCTGCGGGTACTTGCTTCCATTCAGCCACAAGAGCATTAGTGAGGTCAGGCACTAATGTTGGGCGATTAGGCCTGGCTCGCAGTCGGCGTTCCAATTCATCCCAAAGGTGTTTGATAGGGTTGAGGTCAGAGCTCTGTGCAGGCCAGTCAAGTTCTTCCACACCGATCTCGACAAACCATTTCTTTATGGACCTCACTTTGTGCACAGGGGCATTGTCTTGCTGAAAAAAGAAAGGGCCTTCCCCAAACTGTTGCCAAAAAGTTGGAAACACAGAATCGTCTAGAATGTCATTGTATGCTGTACCGTTAAGATTTCCCTTCACTGGAACTAAGGGGCCTAGCCCGAACCATGAAAAACAGCCCCAGACTATTATTCCTACTCCTCCAAACTTTACAGTTGGCACTATGCATTGGGGCAGGTAGCGTTCTCCTGGCATTCGCCAAACCCAGATTCGTCCGTCAGACTGCCAGATGGTGACGTGTTTCCACTGCTCCAGAGTCCAATGGCGGCGAGCTTTACACCTCGCCAGCCAACGCTTGGCAATGCGCATGGTGATCTTAGGCTTGTATGTGGCTGCTCGGCCATGGAAACCCATTTCATGAATCTCCTGACAAACAGTTATTGTGCTGATGTTGCTTCCAGAGGCAGTTTGGAACTCGGTAGTGAGTGTTGCAACCGAGGACAGAAGATTTTTATGCGCTACGCCCTTCAGCACTCGCCGGTCCCGTTCTGTGAACTTGTGTGGCCTTCCACTTCGTGGCTGAGCCGTCGTTACTCCTAGACATTTCCACTTCACAATAACAGCATTACAGTTGACTGGGAAGCTCTAGCAAGGCAGAAATTTGACAAACTGACTTGTTGGAAAGGTGGCATCCTATGACAGTGCCACTTTGAAAGTCACTGAGCTCTTCTGTAAGGCCATTCTACTGCCAATGTTTGTCTATGGAGATTGCATGGCTGTGTGCTTGATTTTATACACCTGTCAGCAACGGGTGTGGCTGAAATAGCCGAATCCACAAAATTTGAAGGGGTGCACACATACTTTTGTATATATAGTGTATCTTCTTTCTAGACCGTACTTCAGCTATACTGCAGTACCGAAAAATGCCCTCTGAGCACAGTGGAAAGCGTGCTTCAAGACCGGAAGCCTGGCCCCTTGGGCGAGACATCTCAGATCTCACTGGCACATTTTTTTGGGTCGGGGCGGATGCACTGAGAACAGCCGGGTGGGGTATATCGCAGAACTTCATGAAAACAAAAATGAGCTTTTCGGTCTTCATTTAAGGTTGGGGTTCAGTATAAGATTAGCAGTGTGGTTAGGGTTAAAATAAAATGTTGAGAAGAGAAATTGTAGAAATAGGCGGGGTGTATGACTTTGTGGCTGTGGTAACTAGTGACGACCAATGACATATATAAACCCAGGATTGCTGAGGATATGTATTGGCCATTGAGAGGCTTTGAAGCCACCGGTCGGCCATTTTGGCACTCCCTAGTAGGAGCAGTCCTCCGTAAGAATGAATGGAATTCTACAGTATTTCAATTAAATGTTTCAAGGACAAAATTACATGCATTTAAGTATTGTTGTTGTTGTAGTGGGGACAGTAACATTAGTACTCTCAAAAAATTATACTTTTAAGGAAAATGTTTTAATATTTGTTTTATTTTTATGTTTAGCTCATATAATTAAAAAGTATGCATTAAGGTGTCTGTAATAGAATACATGTGTCAAAAACGAATGTAGACATTAATAAATGCATTTCTATAGCACCCCCCCCCCCCCAAAAAAAAATATATATATATACAATTGAGGAGTACCAAAATGGCTGTGCGGTGGCTTTAATACAGTGCCCCATGTCTGTCATCCACGGTTTATACACATCATTGGTGACAACCAAAGCAGCATGCTAGATATTACGGTGGAACCGTGAACTCACGCGGGAAAAGCATGTTCACGCGAGATCCGAGAGGAAACGCCCACTAAATTACAGACAGGACCCTGACCATTTTTTTCAATTGTAAACAGCCTGAGTAAACTATCTTATTTATCCACCATATTTGATCTGTCCAGTTGATCTGATGGGACCAGCTACAATGTAACCTTCTATCACGTTCAAGTAAATCAATGATTTAAATTGGCTGATGCGCATTTTGAGACAGATAAACTGTTTCTAATGTTCGCAGGTATGGCCCCAGTTTGTTGGATGAGTGAAAAGTAATCCATAGCCTGCTTCACAGACACAACAAATTAGTACCAAGTTGGTATAGGAATGTAGAGAATTGTATTTATTTATCAGTATTACAAAACACATTCACATTTGCTTAGTGTTTTCAAATGCAGCTAAACATCATAGCTGGCATTTCTCTTCATACAATGAAATATTCAATATTCCGTTATAATCATTACACCTTCCTTCACTTTTTTTATTCAGTATACCTTCATTTTGATCACATCAAAAATTGCATTTTGTAAAAGAAAGGTATCAGTCCTTTTGTTTTGACTGCTGAGGGGAGGACAGCTCATAATAATGGCTGGAACGGAGAAAATGGAATGGCATCAAACAGATGGAAACCATGTGTTTGATGTATTTGATACCATTCCCCTCATTGGTTTTGACATGTACTGTATGGGGTTTTCCCAATTTATGTATGTCAGAGGCAATAGGCAAGTTTAATTACATACAAGCTTATAAACTCTTGTAATACTCATAATACTGTACACTCAGTACACTGGTGCAGATCCTTCATAGGCATATGAACACAGAATGATAAATGATTTAGTATTCTATGTATAGGAATACCATTTAATATACATTACTGACACTGCAGTAATCCATGTGTCACAGAGGAGTTTGGGGTGGCTCAGAAACGTCCGTTAGTGAGGGTAAGAACAAACCGAGGAACCCGGAAGAATGAGGGTACCATCACGGAGAGCCAGGAAAGATATGGGACCTGGGTCAGGAGGAATTTAAGGGAGGTGTAGTCAGTCACACTGCGGCCTAAAAAAAAAAAAAAAAAAGAGGGAGTAGTTAAAAGATTAAGACAGAGAGCAAGGTGTGTAGGCCTATGTACAGTTCTGCATGGAAATAGATTATCTCCCAAAAAAAAATACTACAATAGCTAGGTTTCCATCCTATTGGCGACAGATTTTCATGCGAATATTGTAAAATATATGCGCATTCTCCCACTAGAGGTGTTTCCATCAAACTGACTTGTTGCTGATAAAAGGCTGTGCGTGATGACGTAGTGCACATAAGTTCCAATGTACTGAATAAAAGACAAGTTAAATGGGTTTCCATCGCATTTTCAACTCTACTGATGGTTTTGTTACAAAAACTGTTGCAATAAATAGCAAACTTGCCCAATCTGGTTTTGGCGCATGCTCTCTAGACAAGAGTTTGCTGATTAAGTGGGCAGGGGGTTATATGATGGCCTATGGCTTAAGAGCAGGATCATTGTATTTGATAATTGGCAGCCAAGCACTGATCATCATGTCACCAGCATTCAAATAACAGCCTACCCTTCATATTTAGCCTATTGGAAATGTGCATGAACACCGTTCACTTAACTAAAATGAGTGATATTTTACCGTCAACATCTTGTATCCCGTAGCGCCTAGCCAGGTCACAGGTCATCAACACTTTTCCTGACAGCGACATCAGGTTTTTATCTTAAAATCAGAAACAGAACGCAAAATACAAATTAAAAACTTTGGAAAAACTCATCTGCAAATCGAAATAGTAAGGGCGAAAGCCCAGATCTAAAACAATGTCATCTTCAAAGGATAGTCAGTCTGTTTTGTTGTTAAAGGGGCAGTGCAGTTAAAAATTTGATTTTCTTGTGTTCTATATATTGGAATAATACTGTAACATTGTGAAAATTATGATAATGCACTTTTAGTGTAAGAACTGTATGAAAACCCAGCCTGAAATTTCAGCTTGTTAAGCTGGGTGGGGTTTTTGGACCGCCCAGTGTAAGTTAATAGACCAATAACAAAGAGAGTTTGCCCTCCTCTCTGCCAATAACAGCTAGTTTTCAGGTTACACATCCCTCCCATTAGGCTCATCCAATTAGGCCCCTCTCTCAGACCACTCCCAGACAGTCATAGCTAAATTCTTGCTTGAGAAATTGTATTTTGTTTAGAAGCTACTTTTCTTTATTTTTTTTAACCATTTTAATAAAAAAACTTCAAATGTGGCTTTATTATCAACTGTAGAAATATAATGGTGCATGACCATGTACATGCTGTAGCATAATGTACCTTTCGCCAGCTCAACAATGCACTTCCCACTCAGCTCTGTGGTTTCTCCATTGGCAAAGACGTCTCTGAACTGAGAGAAACAGGGAGTTATGTAATTTCAACAAACTCACTACACAGTGAGAGAATAAGAAATTGTAAAGCCTATGAAAAATTATAATTCAGCAAAATATCTTGGGCACAGGCCGCACAGCCTTATTTTCGGTTTACTGAACTTGTAGAAAAAACTGCATCAGTCAAACCCCAACATGCCACCCATATTGAATGGCAATATTCTAATCAGGGCATAAAATTAACACCCGCCACCTGCCAAATCAAATCATATCAAATGTTATTTGTCACATGCGCCGAATACAACAGGTGTAGACCTTACCGTGAAATGCTTACTTACAAGCCCTTAACCAATAATGCAGTTCAAGAAATAGAGTTAAGAAAATATTGACCAAATAAACTAAAGTTAAAAATTAAATGAAAAGTAACACAATAAAATAACAATAACGGGGCTATATACAGGTGGTACCGGTACCGAGTCAATGTGCGGGGGTACAGGTTAGTCGAGGTAGTTTGTACATGTAGGTAGGGGTAAAGTGACTATGCACAGATAATAAACAGCAAGTAGCAGCAGTGTAAAAACAAACAAAACAAAAATGTACATTGCCCCCCCCCCCCCTTTTTATTTTTTTTACACTGCTGCTACTCGCTGTTTATTATCTATGCATAGTCACTTTACCCCTACCTACATGTACAAGCTGTTAAGGGGGTAGAAGCTGTGCGGTAGCAGAGAAAACAGTCTATGACTTGAGTGACTGGAGTCTTTGACAATTTTTTGGGCCTTCCTCTGACACCGCCTAGTATATAGGTCCTGGATGGCAGGAAGCTTGGCCTCAGTGATGTACTGGGCCGTACGCACCCTCTGTAGCGCCTTACGGTCGGATGCCGAGCAGTTACCATACCAGGCGGTGATGCAACCGGTCAGGAGGCTCTCAATAGTGCAGCTGTATAACATTTTGAGGATCTGGGGACCCATGCCAAATATTTTCAGTCTCCTGAGTGGGAAAAGCTGTTGTCTTGGTGTGTTTGGACCATGGTAGTTCGTTGGTGATGTGGACACCAAGGAACTTCAAACTCTCGACCTGCTCCACTACAGCCTCGTCGATGTTAATGGGGGCCTGTTCGGCCCTCCTTTTCCTGTAGTCCACGATCAGCTCCTTTGTCTTGCTCACACTGTGGGAGAGGTTGTTGTCCTGGCACCACACTGCCAGGTCTCTGACCTCCTCCCTATAGGCTGTCTAATCGTTGTCAGTGATCAGGCCTACCACTGTTGTGTCGTCAGCAAACTCAATGATGGTATTGGAGTCGTGCTTGGCCACGCAGTCGTGGGTGAACAGGGAGTACAGGAGGGGACTAAGCACGCACCCGAGGGGCCCCAGTGTTGAGGATCAGCGTGGCAGATGTGGTTGCCTACCCTTACCACCTGGGGGCGGACCTTCAGGAAGTCCAGAATCCAGTTGCAGATGGAAGTGTTTAGTCCGAGTGTCCTTAGCTTAGTGATGAGCTTTGTGGGCACTATGGTGTTAAACACTGAGCTGTAGTCAATGAACAACATTCTCACATAGGTGTTCCTTTTGTCCAGGTGGGAAAGGGCAGTGTGGAGTGCGATTGAGATTGCGTCATCTGTGGATCTGTTGAGGCGGTATGCGAATTGGAGTGGGTCTAGTGTTTCCGGGATGATGGTGTTGATGTGAGCCATGACCAGCCTTTCAAAGCACTTCATGGCTACTGACGTGAGTGCTACGGGGCCGTAGTCATTTAGGCAGGTTTCCTTCGCTTTCTTTGGCACAGGGACTATGGTGGTCTGCTTGAAACATGTAGTTATTACAGACTCGGTCAGGGAGACGTTGAAAATGTCAGTGAAGACATATGCCAGTTGGTCCGTGCATGCTTTGAGTACACGTCCTGGTAATCCGTCTGGCCCCGCGGCCTTGTGAATGTTGACCTGTTTAAAGGTCTTGCTCACATCGGCTATGGAGAGCGTGATCACACAGTCGTCTGAAACAGCTGGTGCTCTCATGCATTCTTCAGTGTTGCTTGCCTCGAAGTGAGCATAAAAGGCATTTAGCTCGTCTGGTAGGCTCGCGTCACTGGGCAGCTCGCGGCTGAGTTCCCCTTTCTAGTCCATAATAGTTTTCAAGCCCTGCCACATCGGACGAGCGTCAGAGCCGGTGTAGTAGGATTCAATCTTAGTCCTGTATTGACGCTTTGCCTGTTTGATGGTTCGTCTGAGGGCATAGCGGGATTTCTTATAAGCGTCCAGATTAGGGTCCGGCTCCTTGAAAGCGGCAGCTCTAGCCTTTAGCTCGGTGTGGATGTTGCCTGTAATCCATTGCTTCTGGTTGGGATATGTACGTACGGTCACTGTGGGGACGACGTCGTCGATGCACTTATTGATGAAGCCGGTGACTAGGTGGTATACTCCTCTATCAGGAGGATAGAATTATGGTCAGATTTGTCAAATGGAGGGCGAGGGAGAGCTTTCTATGTGTCTCTATGTGTGGAGTAAAGGTGGTCTAGAGTTTTTTTTTCCCTCTGGTTGCACATGTGACATGCTGGTAGAAATGAGGTAATACGGATTTGAGTTTGCCTGCATTAAAGTCTCCAGCCACTAGGAGCGCCGCTTCTGGATGAGCATTTTCTTGTTTGCTTATGGCCTTATACAGCTCGTTGAGTGTGGTCTTAGTGCCAGCATCGGTTTATGGTGGTAAATAGACGGCTATGAAAAATGTAGATGAAAAGTCTCTTGGTAGATAGTGTGGTCTACAACTTATCATGAGGTACTCTACCTCAGGCGAGCAATACCTTGAGACTTCCTTAATATTAGACATTGCACACCAGCTGTTATTGACAAATAGACACACACCCCCACCCCTTGTCTTACCAGACGTAGCTGTTCTGTCCTGCCGATGCACGGAAAACTCAGCCAACTGTATATTATCCGTGTCATCGTTCAGCCAGGACTCGGTGAAACATAAGATATTACAGTTTTTAATGTCCCGTTGGTAGAATAGTCTCGAACGGAGATCATCCAGTTTATTCTCTAGTGATTGCACGTTGGCCGATAGAACAGATGGTAGAGACGGGTTACCCACTCGCCGACAAATTCTCACAAGGCACCCCGATCTCCACCCCCTGTATTTCCGTCTTTTCTTCATGCGAATAACGGGGATTTGGGCCTGGTCTCGGAGAAGCAGTATATCCTTTGTGTCGGACTCATTAAAAAAGTATTATTTGTTCAGTTCGAGGTGAGTAATCGCTGTTCTGATATCCAGAAGCTCTTTTCGGTCATAAGAGACGGTAGCAGCAACATTATGTACAAAATAAGTTACAAACAATGCGAAAAAACACACAAAATAGCACAGTTGGTTAGGAGCCCGTAAAACGGCAGCCATCCCCTCCGGCACCATTATTTAATGCGGGTAGATTTAAGTATAGGCGGGTAAGAATTTCTATTTCACCAGCCACGTTAGCGGGTGGTCAATTTTCAGGCCTCTACAGTATGAGCATTACATTTGCTAATAAAAATAGTCAAAAGTCAAGTATGAGCACGTGCGAGTTGCGATTTATAGTAGAAATATGCTGCAGTAGCTGTTTTCAAAGTATTTCTGCTGTTTTGTTTCATAGCTGCTAGTCACACAAAGAAATACGGATCCTATACCCCACCTCACGCAGCAACACTGCCTGGCAGGAGTGAAGTGCTGACAGATTCATTTTTGGAGGCGGTGCGCATATTGGAGATTGTTCAGTTGAGCATAGTTCATTTTCAGTTGAGCATAGTTAATCACAACATGACAAGTTTACAATGCACAGTTAACCACGACGTGACATAGTCAGGCAGGGTGCAACAGATAGAGGCCGGTCAGGGTGCAAAAGATAGGGGCCTGGAACAGAGCCAGGAAATGGCTCAGGAAATTGACCTACAATTTATGTTATTGATTAAGGCTCAGAAGCTCAGAAAATGGACATAAAATGAACATGCTATGTTTAATAGGTTTAAAAATCAATTAAAAGGTTTAAAACAGAAAAATGGAAATGGCTCTGTTATTTTTATATGACAGGGCTGGGTCCCGCCACCATTGTTTCATAAAACAGGTTGAATAGAAGGAAAATAAGTCAGATTGCGCCACTATTATAAAATAAGGAAGTGGGCGGAGCGGTCAAAAGGTGAAAACAATGGTGGTGGAACTAAACAGAGAGGGATTAAGCTAAAATTTGTGTAAAATGAGTAAGGATGAAACTGTATATAAACTGAGAGGTGGAAAATGAGTTGCTCTGCAGACCAGCTCGGCTCTATTGCTTATGTAATAAAGTCTATCTTAGTTCTACAAAAACACTGGAAGTACTTTTTGTTTTACTGAGGTCAAGGACAATTTTCTACATCACGCACAGGAATAAAAGTTGGTCTAATTTAGTCGAAAGTCTACAAAGTGAGATTTGTCGTCGTGTTTCTTGGCTATTTTTATAGTTTTGTTCACAAGCTCGGTTGTTTTTCAAAAGTTAGTTTAACTCTGCTGCTTTAACTGATAGCGGAGACGCCCTAGTCAGATCCCAATTCTCACACACATACAGTACTTGAGTGGCCCCGTTACTACGGTGTCATGGCTTGCCCTCATGGGCTGAGGATCAAAGATTCCTGCTAGGCAAAGGTTTGAATACCCCCTTTCCTGGGGGCCAGTTTTATGACCGGTCATAAATTCCTTGCAGAGACTTTCTCTTCCTTGCCATGAAGTATTGGGAGAAAGGACCCCGTTGTTAACAAAGGAAGTCTTCCCGCCAAAACTCCAACATCCAAAAGTGGATAATGAAACAACATTCCTACTTAAAAGTATGTGGGAAATGGTTGGTGGGGACTTAAAGAACAATCATGTCAAATTCGTTACTATGTTGTGATGTCATTAAAGACGGTGGAACAACATAACTGTATCTCTGGGGGGCTACACTTCCCAGTTATGAGGTTTGCATCTATTTATTGTATAAAACGAATGATTAAGTGTAATAATAATTTTGTGAAGATAACAATGTGATTTTAGCATTCCAGATGAGATGATCGTTTTCCATATTGATTTGTTCTTAGATGAGCACAAACATGACGGAACGCCCCTTTCACCCCGAGTGCATAAAAAGCCTTGAAAAACAAATCAACCTTTAGACCAGCAGACGTGAAGCGTGAGCCAAACGTTGCAAATGGTTGAATTTCTACCAGACCAGTAAGCCCCACGGCTTAAAATGGTTGACACTCTACAAGACCAAGAAACGTGAAGCTGAAGCTACACGTTACAAAATGGTTAGACTAGGAAGACCAGAAAACGTGAGACGTTAGTCCACACGTTTGAAATTGAGAAACTCTGAAACTCTCAACCTCTACACGAGGTGAAGACGAATACAATGCACTAGACCTTATCATTTCAGTCTGCAGCTGGTATGTACAGTTGAAGTCGGAAATACACCTTAGCCAAATCCATTTAAACTCCGTTTTTCACAATTCCTGACATTTAATCCTAGTAAAAATTCCCTTTCTTAGGTCAGTTATGATCACCACTTTAATTTAAGAATGTGAAATGTCAGAATAATAGTTGAGAGAATGATTTATTTCAGCTTTTATTTCTTTCATCACATTCCCAGTGGGTCAGAAGTTTACATACACTCAATTAGTATTTGGTCGCATTGCCTTTAAATTGTTTAACTTGGGTCAAACGTGTCGGGTAGCCTTCCACAAGCTTCCCACAATAAGTTGGGTGAATTTTGGCCCATTCCTCCTGACAGAGCTGGTGTAACTGAGTCAGGTTAGGGTTCTTGCAGGTTCAAGGATTATGCGACGTTCAGAATGAGACTGATAAAAGGTAATTATTTAATAAGTGACTGTTATCGATATATAACATATATATCTTCTAAGAGTTTAATTCGGGAGATGGTAACTCGTTAAACAACTTCTTCCGTGGTGCCCCAAATTCCTAATGAGTTAATTGTTACATGATTAATTTAATCGAGTGACAATTAAACATAGTTAGGTGATTCGATAAATAAGTAATACATTAAAGTAAGTCACGTCACAACAACGGTAACCCCCACCCTTAAAGGGTCAGCTGAACATTTTGTCTCATCTGATACACTACTCATTTCATATGTATATACTGTATTCTATTCTATAATATTCTACTGTATCTTAGTGCATGCCGCTCTGTCATTGCTTGTCCATATGTATATATTCTTAAATTCCATTCCTTACTAGATTTGTGTGTATTTGGTATATGTTGTGAAATTGTTAGATATTACTTGTTAGATATTACTGCACTGTCGGAGCTAGAAGCACAAGCATTTCGCTACACCCGCAATAACATCTGCTAAACACGTGTATGTGACAAATACAATTTGATTTGATTTGATCTGATTTTGATTTGATATTCTGGTTGGTCTTATTTTTTGTTGTTGTTTGATTATGGCGAAAAAATATTTTGCCTGGTAAAGAAATCAGAGTGGCTGGTCGATTTCTTTCATCTACCTGCTACAGTGGCTGTTGGACCAAAAATAACATTTTAGGCCCTGACTCTAATGGTTTATCATCTACCTTAGGATCAACTCCCGATGGAGCATCCTTCTCAATGATGAGTTGAGACACCAACTCTGTCTGAACTGCTCCCGGCCACAGGCTGATCGAGGCCACTCCCCTGCTCCTCAGCTCAACGGCTGTGTCTGCAGCTAGCCTGTCACACTGGAGAGGAAAGCGATTAGAGTATCAGAGCCGATATAAAATAAAGCATAAAATGCACTTGTTTAAAGTTTACCAAACTCTAATACATGAACTTGAACTTAAAGAGGGATGATAGTGTAGTAGAGGGAGTAATATGTTCAAGATCTGTGTTACTTTGGATGACTACAGTTATTTATACTAAAATAGGAAATGTCATTGAAGTGAGCAGATAATTAACCATTAGGAACATAGAGATGGCAGAACTCACCGCAGCCTTACCAACCCCATATGACACATTGAAGAGATACCTCAACCCTCCCATAGAAGAGATGACCACAATCAAGCCCCTGCCCTGTGCCACCATCATCCGTGAAGCATACACTGAGCAGAAATAGTGTCCCCTGCCGGAAATAAATGCAAAGTGTCAATACTTACAGATAATCAACACACTGATATCTACTTATCTGCTACTGATTTGTGAGTATAATGTGGAGGACTGCCAGAAGCTGAAAGCTAAATGACCATCAGAATTATTATTTATTATTAACCAAGAAACTGAAACACTGCAATAGGGTGCGGTTCAAAGGAAGACCTTACTGAACAAATGAGAGTACCTAAGGCCAGTGTTGTTTATGGAATCCCATATGGTTGGATCTGTTTCCCAGAACTTCTTCCCCATGTTAGTGAAAATAGCCTGAAATAACATTACAAATCTCATCGTCATTACAGTCATAAATACTTTTTACACATTTTTGAGAAGTGATTGAAATTCACTCTCTCCATACGCTAATGTCACTTCAAACAACCAATGTCGTTTTTACAAACCCTGTCAATAACTTATTGTCATGTAGTCTATTGACAGTTTTCCCTGCAGCGATGTCACTGACCTGTACACCAGCATAGGCGTTGTTCACTAGGATGTCCAGTCTGCCATTCTGCTCACGTTGGATTTGATCAAATAGATATTTTATGTCTTCATCACTTGAAGAATCACAGACAACTGGCACACAGTTCCCACCCCTCTCCTTCACCTGCCATTGAGATTGGAGAAGGAAAGTGGTTAATTAGTCTTAGACTCTTTGACCAAAGAACATAGTGGCCAATATGTATTCTAATTGTCTCTCTGCCCCCCCAAAAACAGTATTCAGTGGAAATATATTTCACCCTTGTTTGTCACCTTTCTCACGGGACCTCCGTTAAGCTTTCATGTGTGCTAAGGACATTTAGTACACATGAAAGTATGACAGTTCACCTGAGCAGCAGTTTCCTTCAGGGTCTTCTCCTGGCGGCCAGTGATGTAGACAGTGGCTCCCGCCTCTGACAGCTGCAGGGCAATGCCCCTTCCAATGCCTCGAGAGGCACCTGTCACCAAACACACCCAGCCTGAGAGGGCCATCAGCTGATGAGGCAATATGTGAAGGAAATGAAAATGGATGTTGAATTGAAGTTTTGATGTTTGAAACTTTTGCAAACAGCATACATTAATCTTGACTGAGCCTACACTGGAGGAAATTACTGTTAAATAATAGGGGGATTGCGCCACCTGACAACGTAGCGTGGGTAACAACGATATCGTGTATCGTTGAAGAATGACGTCCTTAACGAATAACCATTATGCATCTCAGTGTGATAACGTATTTGGTTACGCTTAACGTTACATAATGACAAGAGCATAATTTGGTAAACCAGCGGTTGAGCGAGAAAGACCAAAACACGCTTAACATATCGCCGTGACTAAGGTTATCGGTTGCTAAACATGGAAAATCAAGAGCAGAGTGCAAACGTGAAGTAACACAAGCCACATTCAGACCCTTTATGTAAAAACACGTAGCAGTATTTTCACCGATAAAGAGCCTTTGGCAATCATGTCCTAAAATAATTATGTACTATTGTTGTAGTACGCCCCTTTATGTAAAAACAGGTAGCAGTATTTTCACCGATAAAGAGCCTTTGGCAATCATGTCCTAAAATAATTATGTACTATTGTTGTTTTACCTCTTATCAGTTTCAAAACGTTGGCGTAAACAGTTGCTTGAGATTCCTCTTGTACCGTCAGTCGATAATATGTTGGACTGTTGGAATGGGTACATGTCCAAGTATACGCACTAATATGGAAATAAGCCTATGTAACCGCGCCTCAACTACCATAATGTTTATAATAGGAGCACCTACATTTCATTGTACTGTACAACAAAAGTGCATCCAACCCAACCTGACAAGAAGAGAAAGGGTAGGGCTAAGTTTCACAAAAACATAAATATAATCGTAAATGGTAAATGTTAGATGGTCTTTATGTTTTTGGGAAATGTGATCTTTGTGGGAAACTCAAGTTACCTGTCAAACCAAGTCAATATTTCTATCTTAGGTTACTATTGTGTAATTTGTCCCTACCACACACCCAGGGGTAGAGGGGAAGTATCATAAACATAGTCCCGTGTCGCTCAGTTGGTAGAGCATGGCGCTTGAAACGCCAGGGTTGTGGGTTCGATTCCCACGGGGGACCAGTATGAAAACATGTATGCACTCACTAACTGTAAGAGCGTCTGCTAAATGGGATAAATGTAAACATAAATATTGGCACCCTGTTCTGTGAACAAATTATACCTGTCCTCAAGGTCTGTCTGTTGGAATGTAAAATTGACTTTGTTGGTTGTCTCATCAGTTTGTACTTTGCTTTTGATTTAACCACAGAGACAAACCATTGAGATAATGTGCTGCTCTATGGTATTTTATGTTATTATGCCTGTAGGTATTGTTATGGCCGATTGTTATTCAAACATTTTACAGGCGTAGTAAGAGTCTTAGTCATAGAGGAAGCCTATCTATCAACCCATCTCATCTTAGAAATAATGGCGCCGTTTGGAGGGGATGGCTGCTGTTTGGAGGGCTCCTGACCAACTGTGCTATTTTGTGTGTTTTTTTCGCATTGTTTGTAACTTGTTTTATACATAATGTTGCTGCTACCGTCTCTTATGACCGAAAAGAGCTTCTGGATATCAGAACAGCGATTACTCACCTCGAACTGGACGAATACGTTTTCTTTAATGAGTCCGACACAAAGTATATACTGCTTCTCCGAGACCAGGCCCAAATCCCCATCATTCGCATGAAGAAAAGACGGAAATACAGGGGGTGGAGATCAGGGTGCCTTGTGAGAATTCGTTGGCGAGTGGGTAACCCGCCTCTACCATCCGTTCTATTGGCCAACGTGCAATCACTAGAGAATAAACTGGATGATCTCCGTTCGAGACTATCCTACCAACGGGACATTAAAAACTGTAATATCTTATGTTTCACCGAGTCCTGGCTGAACGATGAGACGGATAATATACAGTTGGCTGAGTTTTCAGTGCATCGGCAGGACAGAACAGCTACGTCTGGTAAGACGATGGTTGGGGGTGTGTATCTATTTGTCAATAACAGCTGGTGTGCAATGTCTAATATTAAGGAAGTCTCAAGGTATTGCTCACCTGAGGTAGAGTACCTCATGATAAGTTGTAGACCACACTATCTACCAAGAGAGTTTTCATCTACATTTTTCATAGCCGTCTATTTTTAACCACAAACCGATGCTGGCACTAATACCGCACTCAACGAGCTGTATAAGGCCATAAGCAAACAAGAAAATGCTCATCCAGAAGCGGCGCTCCTAGAGGCCGGGGACTTTAATGCAGGCAAACTCAAATCCGTTTTACCTAATTTCTACCAGCATGTCACATGTGCAACCAGAGGGAAAATAACTCTAGACCACCTTTACTCCACACATAGAGCCGCATAAAAAGCTCTCCCTCGCCCTCCATTTGACAAATCTGACCATAATTCTATCCTCCTGATTCCTGCTTACAAGCAAAAACTAAAGCAGGAAGTACCAGTGTGTACCGCCCCAACAGATCCACAGATGACGCAATCTCAATCGCACTCCACACTGCCCGACCTTGACAAAAGGAACACCTATGTGAGAATGCTGTTCATTGACTACAGCTCAGCGTTCAACACCATAGTGCCCACAAAGCTCATCACTAAGCAAAGGACCCTGCGCCTTAAACATCTCCCTCTGCAACTGGATCCTGGACTACCAGACGGGCCGCCCCCAGGTGGTAAGGGTAGGCAACAACACATCTGCCACGCTGATCCTCAACACGGGGGCCCCTCAGGGGTGCATGCTTAGTCCCCTCCTTTACTCCCTGTTCACCCACGACTGCGTGGCCAAGCACAACTCCAACACCATCATTACGTTTGCTGACGACACAACAGTGGTAGGCCTGATCACCGACAAGACAGCTTTTAGGGAGGAGGTCAGAGACCTGGCAGTGTGGTGCCAGGACAACAACCTCTCCCTCAACGTGAGCAAGACAATGGAGCTGATCGTGGACTACAGGAAAAAGAAGGGGGACGAACACGCCCCATTCACATCGAAGGGGCTGTAGTGGAGCGGGTCGAGAGTTTCAAGTTCCTTGGTGTCCACATCACCAACAAACTATCATGGTCCAAACACACCAAGACAGTCATGAAGAGGGCACGACAACACCTTTTCACCCTCAGGAGACTGAAAAGATATGGCATGGGTCCCCAGATCCTCAAAAAGTTATACAGCTGAACTATCGAGTGTATCCTGACCGGTTGCATCACCGCCTGGTATGGCAACTCCTCGGAATCCAACGGTAAGGTGCTGCAGAGGGTAGTGCGTACGGCCCAGTACATCACTGGGCTTCCTGCCATCCAGGACCTAAATTATATACTAGGCGGTGTCAGAGGAAGGCCCAAAAAATTGTCAAAGATTCCAGTCACCCAAGTCATAGACTCTTCTCTCTGCTACCGCACGGCAGGCGGTACCGGAGCGCCAAGTCTAGGTCCAAAAGGCTCCTTAACAGCTTCTACCACCAAGCCATAAGACTGCTGAACAATTAATCAAATGGCGACCCAGACTATTTACATTGACCCCCCCCCTTTATTTTTACACTGCTTTTACTCGCTGTTTATTATCTATGCATAGTCACTTTACCCCTACCTACCCTTATGTACAAATTACCTCGACTAACCTGTACCCCCACACATTGACTCGGTACCGGTACCCCCTGTATATAGCCTCATTATTGTGTTACTTTTTATTTCATTTTTTACTTTAGTTTATTTAGTAAATATTTTCTTAACTATTTATTGAATTGCATTGTTGGTTAAGGGCTTGTAAGTAAGCATTTCACGGTAAGGTCTATCTATACCTGTTGTATTCGGCGCATGTGACAATTTTTTGTGGGGGTGGGAATTTGATCTCTCGCCCCTCTCATTGCATACCTAGTGGGCAAAACCTGGTTGAAAAAACATCAGTATGACGTCTAATTCTGGTTCAAACTGGTTGAAAAATGACGTTAAAAAAAATAATAATCTGACTACCATATGACCATTCTGCAAAAACTGGTTGAAAATACGTATTTTTATGATGTCTTATTCTAGTCGCAAACTGGTTGAAAAAGGACAATGTTTTACGCCTTTTTCTGACCGCCATTCAACCAGTTGCTCATAATTGTGACCTCTATCTGACCAGCTGGTCATAATTCAGACCTCTATATTATGTGTTATATTATGTAGCCTACTGGCCATAGTTAAGACCTCATCATAACCTGGCAACGACCACCTGACTACATCTTATTACCTACACTCTTAGAAAAAAGGGTTCCAAAAGGGTTCTTCAGCTGTCCCAATAGAAGAATCCTTTTTGGTTCAAAATAGAACCCTTTTGGTTTCCATGTAGAACCCTCTGTGGAAAGGGTCCTACATAGAACCCAAAAGGGTTCTACCTGGAACCAAAAGGGTTCTACCTGGAACCAAACAGGGTTCTTCAAAGGGTTCTCCTATGGGGACAGCCGAATAACCCTTTTAGGGCATGACTGTAAGTCGCTTTGGATAAAAGCGTCTGCTAAATGACGTATTATTATTATTATTATCATTATTATTAGGTCCTAGACAGTACCTTTTTTTCTAAGAGTGTACTGTAAAAAGTATTGCAGAGGATAAAGTTGGATATTGAAAACATTGTTCATTACATTTGTATTTGTTTCCATAGTCACCAATTAAAGTTGATCTGCAACATATTCTTATATATATATATATATATATATATATATATATATATATATATATATTAGGGGGTAGATCAGCTTTAATATTGCAGATAGATTGTAACTTCCATCAATGTAATTGTCTGCATCACTTCCAATCCCCCATATGTTTTTTTTCTCTCACAAATATATATATATAATACAGTGGGGAAAAAAGTATTTAGTCAGCCACCAATTGTGCAAGTTCTCCCACTTAAAAAGATGAGAGAGGCCTGTAATTTTCATCATAGGTACACGTCAACTATGACAGACAAATTGAGCATTTCTTTCCAGAAAATCACATTGTAGGATTTTTAATGAATTTATTTGCAAATTATGGTGGAAAATAAGTATTTGGTCACCTACAAACAAGCAAGATTTCTGGCTCTCACAAACCTGTAACTTCTTCTTTAAGAGGCTCCTCTGTCCTCCACTCGTTACCTGTATTAATGGCACCTGTTTGAACTTGTTATCAGTATAAAAGACACTTGTCCACAACCTCAAACAGTCACACTCCAAACTCCACTATGGCCAAGACCAAAGAGCTGTCAAAGGACACCAGAAACAAAATTGTAGACTATATACATTTTATGGACACAGTCAATTTTACAATAATTCTATTTTGTTTGTTTTTACTCCTAAACATCCTCTACCCTCAACCTCTCCGATCATTTTCATGATGTTCATCCGGTTTGCTTCTATATGCCATATCTTTCTAACTGTGCTCTTTCACAAAAGCTCTCAACCTATAACCTATATACTTATTATGGACACAGTATGCTTTACATTAGTTATCTTGTTGTTATTAGTTGTTGTTAGTTGTTATTAGTCCCATCCTTCAGCTCCATTCAACACCTCCCATCTATCTCTTAACACCATCCATATTGGATTTCTATTTGCCATATCAATCTTTTTCAACTGGACTGTGATGTTTCACAAAAGTTAATATCATCACCCCTTCTGAGTTTCTTTGCCCATGGGAGAAGTATATTTCGGCCCCCTAGTCCATTTTCCACACAACTTAATCT